GGGCTGAGAACTACGGTGGCAGCCGGTGGTGCTCGTTATGGCGACTCCTGCTGCTTCTGTTTATTTCTTCAGACGAGGTCGACGCGTGAGAGATGAGGGGATGAAGGAGTGAGGGTCGAGGATGTTTGGAGCTGTTGTACTTGACTGGAACGAATATAGATATATGAATAGAGAGAGAGAGAGAGAGAGAGAGAGAGATTATTTTTTATTTTTCTTTTAATCAGAAAAAACATTTAAATAAATAAATAAAATAGAAAAAGAAAGTACAAAGGGTAAATCCGTCATTTTAAATATTTGTAAATCAAATTGGACTAAAATCGCAACAAAATGAAAACTTTGGACCTGTGGTGCTAGTCAAAACTTTTTTGGACCAAAGTGACAGTTTTGAGCAAACCACAAGGACCATTTGTGCAGTTTAGTCTAAATTATATACATAAAATGGGCCGAAAATGTCATTTTTATCTAAATTGGGCTGAAAATGTAAATTATATATATAAATAGGCCAAAAATGTCATTTTTATCTAAATTGGGCTGAAAATGTAAATTATATATATATAATTTGGCCGAAAATGTAAATTTTTATAATAATGGGCCGAAAACATCAACTTATATATATACTTGGGCCAAAAATGTTAATTTATGTACAATTGGACTAAAGATGTAAATTTTCATGTTTATTGGGCCTAATACATATAATCCATGTTATTGGGCCTTAGTGGCCCATTTACATGCTTATTGGGCCTGGATTATACATTACATGTGGCCCATTTACATGCTTATTGGACCTAAACTATACATTACATGTTTATTGGGCCTTAGTGGTCATTCTACATGTCTGTTGGGCCTCGTGCATTCATATACATACTCATTGAACTTTTTAAACATAAAACGCACACGGAAACATTATATAATATAATACAATATTCGCGTAAACTCAGTTAAGGATGCTAGTGAGACATGTCGGTTGACACCTCTCGAGTGTACAATCATAGCTTGTAGTTATAACCAGAGTCTTCTGGAGGGAGAGCGAGAGTTTGTGTATAGATCTATACGGGGTGACACCCCACACCTGAGCTGTTCGCTACAGTTAGACTAGGCCAGTCTAGGGTGACAAACCTTACCTTAAACAAGTCGGCGCCTAAAAACGCCACGACAGGCGAATCCGTCATAATCAAGTATGGTTAAAATGGATCACATAGAGATTCTCTCCATCATAAGTTTTACGGAATACATAAAGAATCTTGTTAATACAAAAACATACATACACTGATATTCGGTCTTAGGGTTTGAGACCACGTCACTTTGTAAACAGAAAATATAGGATTTTCTGGGGAAACATACAGTTAAACAATACCTTCTACTTACAACAGAAAACACAGGGTTTCTATCCGAATTACATTCTTAAATACATTTCAACAACAGAAAACACACATGCATTAATACTTGATTTTGATACATCACTTTCAAACCATTTATAGAAAATATTGGATTTTATGGTGTTTCACGAACAATACAAAACTTTTCTTCAAATATGCTTATGAACTCACCAACATTATATATGTTGACATTTTCAAAATAACTTGTATTCTCAGGGAATCGTTAAGCGGAAAGGTCTACAAGAACATGTGGAATTTGCCTTATTTTGTTATCATCATACATTGAATATTTTGGCATGTAACTTATGATACTATACTTGATGTAAACAATGTTGGTTATATTTTGATATGTATGATGATGGTGTTGTCTTGTTTCAATTATATACATTGTGATGATATTACAAGATGAAGTCACGCACAAGCCCCCAGACGTTTTCCGTCATCTGGTTCGAGGGTGTGACACTAACTGATTTTTGATGGCCCACTATGGCCAAAAATAGCAAAGTCCATGAAATGGCCCAACCCGAGGCCCAAATGACGAAAACCCAAATCCAGTGAGTACGCGGGGCGTACTCCTCTGCACGCTAAGCGTATAGGCTGCATGGCTCGTACGTTGTGTGTACGGGCTTGTACGCCCAGCGTACTACCCTGTTAATCCATAATCTCCAAAAAGGCTTAATCCCTTAAGACATTAAGCTCCAAACACACATTTGAGTCCAATAAAGTGTCTTAACCAATAAAGTCGATTACTTGGTGGCTTGCAAACCCCCAAATGGACCCAAACTTGAAATATGGCAACCTACTTCCATAGAAATGACTAATACTCATGCATGGCCACATTAAGACCTTCAAGGTGGTAACTTTTTTTTGTCTTTGGGACTCAAATAGAACTAAGGGTGGCAACCCTAAGCCTAAAAACATATTTGGAATCATAAAGTTCCATTCTTTGGACAAAAAAGGTCCAAAACCCCATTACAAGAGATCTAAGCATTCATGAGGCAAGTTTTGAGATTTTTACCTCAAATGAGTGCTAAATGGTGATGATGTCTCAGATCTCTAAGCTCAAGCTACACAAGTTCTTCTTCACCAACTTCTTCTTTCTCCTTCTAAGCTTCAAGCCACTAAAATGGAATTCACAAGATCAAGATCACACAAAAACGAAGAAGGTTAGGGTTTTAGGGTTTCTGCGTCAAGGGGGCTGGTAAGGAGGCTAGGGTTTGGGACATAAAGATGTATTTATATGGCCTAAACCCTAAAAATTAGGGTTTTGAGTCAGCACGCGTACGCTGCACGTACCTCTTGGTACGCTGCGTGTACGTGCTTCAACCCCCCGCATCCAATGCTGCCACTACGCCCCACGTACGCCAAGCTTACGCCCAACGTACGTCTTCAGTCAGCCCAAACATATAACGACCCACTCAATAAAGGCCAAACTCAATAATCCAACATTAATCTCATAGTCCAACAATTAATTACAAAGATTAAATAATTAACATTACCTCAAGTCACGGATGTTATACGAGATCACCAAAATGTTTCATGAGAGGGCCCTATTTTGCCTTGAATACGCTCCTCGGAGCAGATGTTGATGACCTATTACTTGAGTATACTTAAGACTGAGATTAGAGAGTTCATAGCGAACACCTAATACAAGACTTTGGCTGAGCTGTAGTCAGATGTCCGAATGAGAAAGATCGAGATAGAGACCCAAAGGAAAGATAAGAGGCTAGTACCAGTTCAATTGCAAGCGGCGACCAAACACTTAAAGTCCATTGAATTGAGACCAGGAGTAACAGATCTGAAGGGCCTTAGGTGTAATAGATGTGGGTAGTTTCATAATGGGGCATGTCGATCGTTTGCGTGCCACGGATGTGGCAATGAGGGAAACTACGGCAGGGACTATAGGCAAAGTGCACGAGCTTGTTTTCATTGCGATCAGGTGGGCCACCTCAAAGGCCAATTGTCCCATTCCCATTACAGGCGTAGTGTAGAACCCTAAGTCTTTAGCATGACAGATGTCAGATGGACGTCCAGGGAGAGCTGAGATCCCTATGATGGAGGGGAAAGCCTATCATCTTGTCGCAAAAAGAATTGGAAGTGCGACTATGATGACTGTGGATATGTTTTACATTTATATTATCTTGTAATTATGTATTGCGTTTGCTTTTGGAAAATTTTCCTTCGTGGTGATTGTTGTCTTGAGTTGTGAGTGCGTTTTCGATTGAGATGTTATTAGGTTTTGGTAGACAACAGTTATGAAGGGGCATATACTCAAAACTTTTCACTTGGCCCTCCTACCCATTCTTGTTTGATGAAGGTTTTAGCGTTGAGTTGGACAGTTCGAAGGAGTATCTTACTTCATATCTGTTAATTTCCTAGAAGCACGCACGGTTGTTTCCAGTTAGGTCGATACGAAGCTTTTAATTATGTGTCGATTACGTTCTGATGATTCATATAGTCCAAGTAGGGAGAGTGGAGATTTGTAGCGAGGGAATTTTGGACCAGGTTTCACTCTTCGGCCATCCACTCGGTTGCGCAATCTTCAGAGCCCTGTGTCGGGTTCATTATCAATTGTTGTGTTTCCTTTCGGGTGGTTTTGGTTTTAGTTTTAGGACGTTAGGAAGCTCAGGTTGAGGGCTGTGATAAGGATCTCCTTGTATGTTCTTGTTTAATTGAGACTTGGAGGTTCGAGTCACGATCAAAGGGCCTGATAGGGATAGTTAAGGTTCATAAACATCATTGGTGCTTTATGTTGATTTGGTTGCCTTAGTGTGTGGCGGACGGATCGGGGTGAGGCCGAAACGGTTAGTAGATGACGGATCAGGTTAGACCTGATAGTCACGAGGATATTTAATTACATATAACTATTGACCGAAAATCATTTAGTAATATTGTATAACGAACTTTAATTATTCACCAATCTGCACACAATATTTATGACTATTTAATATAATAAACTTATGCCTTTTTATTATTTTTATAGTTTTTGTGTTATAGTTCTTAAAAAATCCAACATACATTTCATCTAAATTTTAAAAAATAAAATATTATTTTTAGTGTTTTAAAACTCCTATATTTTATAAAATTATATAACTTAATGCTTTGATATCGATAAACCATAAACAACCATAAATAGCATGTAATCGATTATTAAAGGTTTGCTTGTTACAATATTTTAAATAAGAAGATTTCGAAAAATATAAGGAGTTTAAGACACTAAAAAATAATATAGTTATTTTTTTATGGTTGAATTGAAATATTTTGGGTTGTCTCATGTCCAAAGCTTTAAATTAGATTTTCCTAAAAATATAATAGTGTTAATGCATTAAAATAATATAGTAGTTTTTTTAAAAATTAGGTGAAAATATGTTGGAATTTTATAAAGTTTGTCTTTTATATATATATATATATATATATACTTAGATAAAACAATAAATACGTTACACTAAATTAAATTAATTGTATTAAATAAATCAAAGATGATAAAAGAATATTAGTATTTTGCAATTAGATACATAAAAATATATCATTTTAAAAAAATAAAGAAATGCAATGAAAATAGCGTGGGTAAAGGAGCTGCCTTACATTGACGTTTAGATTAAGAGGAAAAATCGAAGAGACGGAGGAGCATTCTTATTCCTCTCTCTCCATGTCTATCTATAAATACGACCTTACGTTAAAATGCTCTCTTTTTCCTTCTTCCCCCTTTTTTTTCTCTGCTTTGTCTTCTCCACGACTACCAACCCGTTCTCGGTATTCTCCCGGCCGGCTTTTGACCGTCCACCTCCGACCACCGGAAATTTTTATTTACCGACATTTAATATCTTCCAGGTCTTCACTTTCTCTCTCTATCTTTTACCTTTCGTTATATATATTCTCTTACCTTTTATATAAACTAGCTTCAGATCTCTTACATATTTCCCAAGACTCCCGCCACTGGTCTCTTTTCCGTGCTATTTTTGTCAAGATTTGTTCCTATTGTTTGCTGTTTCACATGTATTCTGGATCTTGGAAATATCGTTGAATGGTCTAGGAATACTAATGCAGATTCAATAATATTTTAGAATTTCTATGCAATTTCAGATTTGGTACTTTTGTTATCAAGTGTTTTATATTTGCTCTTATTAGGGTGATTGAAATTCTAATTAGGTAAGCTACGATGTGGATTGTTTAGCATTGAAAGTAACATTTAATGTTTTTGTGGTTTCTTATCTTAAATGTTTTAATGTAAAATGAGCTACATTTCTACGCTTCTTTTTCCTTTCATAAATTCATCTCACATTCATCTACCTGAGCGCCCTCTCCTATCAAATAAATTTCATGCAAAAGCTTTGATTTTTTTTAGTATGTAGGATATAAGAACGTAATTTCTTAGGTGTTTACTGAATATACGAATTTGATTTTACCAATAGGATACCAATAGCAACTTTGTGGTGGTGTAGGAATCAAAAAGATCCTCCTAACGTTTGAAACTAAGCAAAGAGGTTACTCCTTTCTGGACCAAGGAAGTAAATTTAAACCTAGTTAACTGTTATTATGCATGTTGGTTGGTCTCTTAACATGTCTGATTACATGTGGATAAGATTAATGAATAAGCAGAGCTAAAGTGTCCTTATCACTTTTGTTAATTTGTTTACTCTCTGTAGATGGATACAAAAAGGGAAAACTACTAATTTTATATGTTGTATTCACACTTGAATGTTTAAAATCCAATACTTTAATGTTCATGTATGTGCAGATTATTCGTTAGGTGGAAAATTTGAGTATCATGGATGCCCCTAAAGAGTCTGGACTTCGTAATGTTAGCTCAGTTTGCTCCATTCCAGAAATGGATGATTTTGATCTCACAAAGCTTCTTGATAGACCAAGACTCACCATCAAAAGAGAGAGATCATTTGATGAAAGGTCACTTAGTGAGATGTCTTTATCAAGAGGCCTTGAGAATTTGGATGTTGCATATTCGCCAGGTGGACGCTCAGGATTTGATACACCTGCTTCATCCACACGAAACTCTTTTGAACCCCATCCAATGATTGCTGAAGCCTGGGATTCTCTTCGTAGATCATTGGTACATTTCAGGGGACAACCAGTTGGCACAATTGCTGCATATGATCATGCATCTGAAGAAGTTCTAAACTATGATCAGGTAAAAGTTTGATCATAACTTTTTTCAGATTGGAATTCAGTCTATTCAATGTCTACTTTTCTTTATGAATGATGTGCAGGTGTTTGTAAGGGATTTTGTACCTAGTGCACTGGCGTTTCTAATGAATGGAGAGCCTGATATAGTGAAGAATTTTCTGTTGAAGACACTTCAGCTTCAAGGGTGGGAAAAAAGAATTGATAGATTCAAACTCGGGGAAGGGGCAATGCCTGCTAGTTTTAAAGTTCTTCATGATCCAGAAAGAAAAACAGATACAATTGTTGCAGATTTTGGTGAGAGTGCTATTGGAAGAGTTGCACCTGTTGATTCTGGATTCTGGTGGATTATATTGCTTCGTGCATATACAAAGTCTACTGGAGATTTAACCCTAGCTGAAACTCCAGATTGCCAAAAGGGAATGAGGCTTATATTAACTTTGTGTTTATCAGAAGGTTTTGATACGTTTCCAACTTTGCTCTGTGCAGATGGGTGCTCAATGATTGATAGAAGGATGGTAAGAAATGTTTGTGCTTTTCTTTATGTTTGTATGATTATGACTATATCATATGTTTAATGGGATCATTTCTATCTCAGGGGATTTATGGTTATCCTATAGAAATACAAGCTCTTTTCTTTATGGCATTGAGATGTTCATTGGCAATGCTGAAACTTGACTCAGAGGGAAAGGAATTTGTGGAAAGAATAATGAAGAGGCTGCATGCATTGAGCTTTCACATGAGAAGTTATTTCTGGATTGACTTTCAACAACTGAATGATATCTATCGCTATAAAACAGAGGAGTATTCTCACACTGCTGTAAATAAGTTTAATGTTATTCCTGATTCAATCCCAGATTGGGTATTTGATTTTATGCCAACACGTGGTGGTTACTTTGTTGGTAATGTGAGTCCAGCAAGGATGGATTTTAGGTGGTTTGCTTTAGGCAACTGTGTTGCTATTTTATCTTCTCTTGCTACCCCTGAACAAGCTTCTGCAATTATGGATCTTTTTGAAGCACGTTGGGAGGAGCTTGTAGGAGAAATGCCTATAAAGATTTGTTATCCTGCAATTGAAAGTCATGAATGGAGAATTGTAACTGGTTGTGATCCTAAGAACACTAGATGGAGTTACCACAATGGAGGATCTTGGCCAGGTTACTTTTCTTTTCTCATTTTATTATTTTATAATTTCCCAATCCAAAAGAACATTTTTTTTTATTATTATTTGTGTAATATATATATATATGCAGTGCTTCTGTGGTTGCTAACGGCGGCATGCATCAAAACGGGGAGGCCACAGATAGCAAGAAAGGCGATTGAACTGGCGGAGAGCCGCCTGCTGAAGGACGGGTGGCCGGAATACTATGACGGAAAAAATGGAAGATACATCGGGAAGCAGGCGAGGAAGTATCAGACATGGTCAATTGCTGGATATTTGGTAGCAAAGATGATGTTGGAAGATCCATCACATTTGGGGATGATTTCTCTTGAAGATGATAGACAGTTGAAACCCATCATTAAGAGATCTTCTTCATGGACTTGCTGAAAAAGGTAAAAAAAAAAGGTGAGATGAGTAATCTCCGATTATTATAAAAAAAGAAAGTTGCTTGAATTCTTCTTCTGAGTTGTGTCTTGTTTAGGTGAATTTGAGTGTTTTGTTATGTGTACATTACCCATTTGACATGTCTTGTCTTATTGCTTCTTATAATAAAAAAACATGACAATGTGATGGTGCTCTTATTATTTATCTTCAAATTTGCAAAGGTGTTATGAGATTTCTATTTGTTTATGAACTGCCATTTTAGATTTTCGTTAGGCTGTGTTTGTTACATGGGACTGGACTTAACTGACTTTTTAGGCTATTTTTGTTAAGGGCATCTACGTCTTTTGCCCTTGGGGTTCAACAAAATTGGTTCAAAACTCTCCATCTTTTGTTGTCCAAATGGGTTAGAAGACATATCTATGCAATATTGCAATCTTTCTTTTTTCTTTGAATTTTTACCAATTTATGTAACAATGTTTTTTTTAAATTATGCAACTATGTTCCAATCTTCACTAATTTATACATATTCACAAATTGTAAACCGAACATTCTTGCATAAATCCATACGGAATTCTTTAGGGGGTGTTTGGTTTGAGGGATTTGGAAGCAAAATTCATTCCAGCTTTTTGTTTGTTAAATAAGAAAGACAACGGTGGAAACTCCATCGTGTCATCTTAGGATCACCATTCACAACCGGCCATTTATGAGTTTCGATTACTGGATAACAAATATTTATAGCCAATTAACTAGTTGGAATTCAATTCAAAGCCCAATCCATGCAACTGCTTCATTATTCTTGGACATACTCTTTTCACTCTTGGTTAAGTTTCATTAATATTGCTAAGGAACATCTGAGTGCCATAAAGAAAAGCTCATGTATTTCTATAGGATAACCATAAATTCCCTACTCGTAAGTATATAGATAATATGTTCAATAGTTTTGTACCATTTATCTATTTGGGGTTCTTGTAGGAAAACTGGGATAGGATATATCTAGTTTTAGATTTTCTATCTAAAAGAGCCCTTAATGAGAGAGGGCTAACTCTAACATATATAGAATTGGTTAAGACAATGTCTAGACGGTGTAGGACACTAATGTACCTCCTAACAATCTATCTGGTGGTTTAAAGGTGAAGGACTTGAGATGCAACACTTCAAGGACTTGTTGCATGTTTTATCATTCTCATGTGCTTCTACTCTCAGGTGGCCACATGCCTCATGTAGGGATGGTTGTTTGTTCCACGTGGTTTGCAAGGTATTGCATGGGATCGAATTTTCCTTAGCTTAACAAAGTTGGCTAGTATGGGTTTACCTACGTTAGTGAAAAAATATGCCCCATGAAAAAGAGGCTCGATAGGAGTATATTGGATGTGTTGAGTCCTTGAAGTGTTACACACCGAATCTTATACACATATAAAGTGACATATGATGTGTGGAGCTACAATATAATGTTAAGATTGGTAAACTCAAGTTTTAACATCGGTATATGATATATGGAGTACGTTGTAAATATGATGATAAATAGAAGCAACTAGAACAACCAAGTATCCAAGAATTAGAGTGGAGACCCTTGCAGAAAAAAACATAAGACACTCGACTTGTACTATTAATACAATCGATAAAAGGAAGAATGGTACAATTTCAATGGAGATGGCATACAATTTAGGATGATTATAATGATTAAACTAAACGTCTATTTATAAGCTAATATACTAGAATTCTTAAATAATCCAAAAACTTTTAAGTACCAAACAAATAGTAATGTTTCATAATCCCAAAGACTTGGAAACCAAGCAACCGAATAATGAGGGAGAATTCGACTCACACTTCAACAAACTCCACCGTGAGACATATTCCATCCTTAGTAGAAAAACTTTAGTCCCTTTAAAAAAACAAAATAAAGATGTTCATTCTTCTTGGGCCGAGTGAAAACCTTCGGTCCTTTGCCCCTTCGTTTTTTTCACGTGGCTTCTTATTCACATGGCCTTACATAATTTTTAATTATCGAATATATATTTTCAGCAGTGTGCAATATATATTGCAACTCTGATATGGATGTCATATAGTGTTCAAGGTTATAACTCATTAAGAATTGTAGTCACACTACCAATTCAATAACAACAGGAGATCCAAAACTTTCCAACCTATTAATATTATCCATCATTTCAAAAATGAAAGGGCCAAACTATTGACTGTCCTCTAGTGTACATGCTTTGATTGATTTGACAAAATGAACCAATTCCGTATCAACATGTTTTTCAACTTGTTGTTCATTTCATATACATCAAGCTCCTATGGGATCGTATTAAGGTTTGAGGTCATGCTTGTAAGCATAAGGCATGTTACCTCGTATTACTCATGGAACTTTGTCTAGATTTTTCAAATAGTACCGATGCGTTCTTAAGAGGTGCATCAGGTGTGAGGTTTTCAATGATGTGCAAACTTAATTGTATGTTTTGATTTGTATCATAAACAAAAATATTGAAAACATGTATAAAACATCACAAAGTTATAATACTAACAAAAATAATTAATTCATTGCCCGGACATAATTCTAAAATTAATTTATGAGCTATCATGAATTAATTTGGTCAAACCTATGTACAAAATAAAATCTCCAAAAGCAAATTAAAAGCTTTTTTTGTTGCGAAAAAATTCCCGTTAAAAAATCGCCGCCATTGTCGCCTGCCTAATTGCCGCCTTCGGGGAAACAATGTTGGTCACTTCAGGTCGCCAATCCCACCACAAGGGTGGGGAGACATTACCATGCGATGAGCCGATATCAATTACAACATACTCGCAAAATTGGCCAACCAAAATACATATATTTAGCCAAAAAAACAACCATCACAATCCAAACAACCAAAACCAATCAAAAAGTCAAGAACAACACATGAACCAATATCATCCTATTAAGAACGAACTTAATGGTTTTATTATTGAATCACACATGTGATTAATAACAATAATAATACTTTGCTCGGAAATAAAGTTACATAAATCATTAAAATATTTAAGAATATAAAATTTTGAATCAAATTATTTTGACTATTACCAAGAATACAAAGAACATGATAAGAACGATCAAAATTATATAATTAATATGATCATGTAATTAACACTATAATAATTTTTTGGACACTAGATCCATCACTAGAACAAAAACCTTTGATCTATGACATATTTCTCGGTCAAACCACTCAATAGAGTTGCAATCATACCCCATTGTTGGATAAAATTTAATCTTCTTGTTGGATTTCTTGAACTCGATGTACAAATTGTTGGTTTCGTTTAATGTTACATAAACATAACAAGTATCAATTACCCTTAATTTTAGGTATTGCCTAAGCTTTTCCGCACCTATCGTCCTACACACCGCTATAGATGATTTGGCATGGTAAGGAAGATTACTCAAGAATTTATTTACACTTAAAATGATAATTATATAAACAACAATAAGTCACCAAAATATATTGAATGTCTCATAACATGCCACAAATTGCAAACAAGTCTAACATCATTTCATAATCCAAAACAATAAAAAATGAGCATAGATCTAATCTCGATCGCGATCACATGATGAGTTGCTGCTCATGGTTGAGAAAAATGAACACGTGTGGTTGATGATGAACATGGATTCAATGCTTGTTCTTCAAATAGTTTTTTCAGATATTTCAGAATTGTTACTTGATCTTGATGCATATGAGACTTAATTGGAATAAACAAAAAATTTATTAAAGGTTTTTGGGTGTTGTTTGGAACCCTTAGAAAGCTCCCAAAACCTTTGAAAATTGCCACAAAAGAAGAAGTAGTCAATATGTTTAAGCCTCATTTTATATTGTGACTCAAATAAGGTAGATTAGGGAAAGTTGAGACAACCACGTCTTAACATGCGTCTCGAATGCCAATCTAGAACATTAGGTCGTCGCAGCCTGCATTTTAGCTTTCTGCTACCCATGAATGCATTGAAAATCTCCAAAGACGATAAGGCGTCTTTGAGGAGTCTCAGATGCCGAGTAGGATGTCTCTAAGCCTTTTTCTCAATTTTACATCAAATGAGCATCGTACATCGAGACGAATCTAAGACACAATGGACGTCTTAGATGGTGTCTCAGACGTAAGGTATGACTCCCACGAGGCCTGGTTCATTTTCAAGCTCTGACTTTCTCCCTTGATTTTGACTAATTTGACCATGACATCCTAGAGGTTGTTTGATACGTTTCCTAGGATGCCAGAGCTCTTTTTAGATTCTTATTATCCACATGATACACAACTTTCGTATGCTTCTTTTGTTTTCTAGTCCATGCCCATAATTCATAGAATTGAAACGAATTATAATCCTTTACTTTAAACAAATATGACACGATCAATGATCAAATAAATGATAGAAAAGACCAATGTATCATCATGTGTGTGTTCATGTGTGTGTTGTAGGTGTGTGCCTTAACCACACTATAGTCATACAAATGGTAGGAATGAGAGCAAGGGACTCAGGTTGTAACAAAACACAACTTAAGGATCATATAGTTAGAAAAAAAGAGTTGGACACAAGGACCATTTATGTAATTACAAATATAACTTAAAACTTTATGATATTAGGTCACTCGCATGGTTTTCGCTTTCTTTCCATCTGGGTCGTCTTCTATACTATAAACCCTGCCCCCAAGAAACCCTAACTGCAGAACCCACAAGCGAACATGGCGGCGGCAAAGGGCCAGAACGATCTGACGATGAAGGAGCTTGACATACAGATGATGTTGTCTGCTGAAGTTCATCTCGGTACCAAGAACTGTGATTTCCAGATGGAACGATACGTTTTTAAGCGCCGCAACGACGGTATACGCCCTTTCGTTCTTATTTTCAATTTCATTCGCTTTTATTACTCTGCACCTGTAAGCATTATTGTTTTCGGTTTTGAACTTTGCTCCTCAAGGTTGCAACATTCGTTTTAATCTGATCCACACTCAATTTCTATCAACATTTTGTTTTTTTCGATGAAAACCTACATCGATGATGTTTTTCATGTAATTTAGGTTATCATCTCACATTTCTATTTAGTTTCATTATTCATTGAAGGTTTCAGCCTTCATTAGCAATGTATAATTGTAATAGTAATATTAATTTTACGAAGAACTGAGCAGATCCCAATTGTCATTTACCATATTGTATGATTCTTTCAGGTATATACATCATTAATCTTGGGAAAACATGGGAAAAGCTTCAAATGGCAGCGAGGGTTATCGTTGGAATAGAAAATCCCCAGGATATCATTGTACAATCTGCTAGACCATATGGTCAAAGGGCAGTGTTGAAGTTTGCCCAATACACTGGGGCACATGCCATTGCTGGACGCCATACTCCTGGTACCTTCACCAATCAGCTCCAGACCTCCTTCAGTGAACCCCGTCTTCTAATCCTTACTGATCCACGCACTGATCACCAGGTTACTACAATGTTTACAGCCTGTTTTTATCATATTGAAAAGTTCCTTTCAACTTTTGATTTGATAAATTCATGTGATTTTACAGCCCATCAAGGAGGCAGCACTTGGAAACATACCAACAATAGCCTTTTGTGATACTGATTCTCCAATGAGATATGTGGATATTGGTATCCCTGCTAACAACAAAGGAAAGCATAGCATTGGGTGTCTCTTCTGGCTTCTAGCAAGAATGGTTCTTCAAATGCGTGGGGTTATCAACCAGGGGCATAAATGGGATGTCATGGTATGTAACTATGTGTAATGTACAATTAACAGTTTTTTTTTTTTCATTTGTTAATTTAAGACCAAGTAAATGTAAATGAATGGTGAAATTTGTTATTGCAGGTGGATTTGTTTTTCTACAGGGAACCAGAGGAGGCAAAGGAAAAGGAAGATGATGAAGTAGCTTTAACCACTGACTACCCAGACTATGGTGGTGGTGCTGGTGGTGCACTTGGCGGTTTTGGTGATCAATGGTCTGCTCAAATCCCTGATGCTCAATGGGCTCCCGACATGCCACCACCCATTGCCGCTGCCCCTGTAGCTGGAAACGGGTGGACTGCTGATGGTAAGAGAGCAGCAACTTTTATCTTTTTCTTTGCCAAAAATTTGAATATTTTTGATTGGTTTTGTTGTCATGTGTAAAAGACATAAATGCCCTTGTGATATTTTAATTTTGATTTTTGTGTTGTTGGTTTCAGCTCCGGTTGCTGGTGGTGAGGGATGGGAATCTGTGGCGGCACCCGTAGTAGCTCCGGTTGAAAGTGTTGCTGCATCTGGCTGGGAATGAAATTTGTCTCGTTTTGAAATTCATATTTTAGGTTATGGTATTTGTTGAGGAACTTTTGATGAAATAGGTTAATCATCTTCTGGATTTTGGTTTATCCATCTTCTTTTTATTATTTAAACTGAAAAACTAAGTTATTTGATTTAATTTTTCAGTTGCTCACGTTTTGGATGGTATTTTGAGGTCTTTTTAAATGGTTGTTATAAGCCGTATATGACTGTATGTGTTATTTAATATAAGTAAATACAACTAGTGGTGTTAAAAAAAATATAAGTAAATACAAAATATATTTAAATAAAAAAAATACGAAAAAGTAAAAAGGTAACGATCTTTCAATTAGTATGAATCATTTAAAACATATTACTCATCTTCCGAATAAGTTTGCACTATTTAGAAGTGTGCTGAAAAACTGAGACAAATCAAATAACAAAAGATAATAGCCGCAAAACCAAACAGAGTCATATTCATAAGACAATCTTCTTTTCATAATATTCTAACTTGAGATAATCTTTAGGCTCTTTCTTGTTTCCAATGAACTCAAGCTAGTTGCTTTGTTATTTTTACTGGTTTATGCAAACAGCAAGCCGAAGACCAAAAATCCAAAAAGAACATAATTATATAGGCCTAGATTTTAGTAGGTTTAATCGTTTAATGTCATAGAAATAGATAACAAATTGTTTTTTTTTTTTTTTTTCTATAAAACATTGTTCAAATAGGTAACAAACTACTTATTTTTGTTCACACTACGTTAAAAGACTGTTTACCAGATTTAGGTCCCGTTTAATAGTTGCTGTTTGGGAAAGTGTTGTCTGTGAAATTTTTCTGACTGGAAAAAAACATGCTATTTGATTATATATCTGACTGAATGTGCTGAATGATAAAAAATGATCATATATTACCCTGTTGTTCTATCTTGTGATGGATGTAGTTGCTGAATAATTATAAAAACATACAAATTATTAAATAAAATCAAATTTCACAATAATAATAAAAATTCAACATGTATCTTCTTTTTTATGCAAATCAAGATTACTGATAAAAAAAAAGTTCGACACCTAAAATAAAACATAAAGATGTCGATTTTTTTTGTTAATAACAGAGAGAAAGGGCATCGAAAGGAAAAAAAAAGCAAGATGAAAAGCATGTATTTTTTTTTTGTTAGAGCACACTTGTCCAAAGTTTCATTGAGCCCATAAAGACATGATTTTAGGGCTTTCTGGAAAAAACATAAAGAGCCATTTTTTTTTATGCAAATCAAACAGTCTTCCGGTCCATTTAACCAGAAAGATCTGTTTGGACCTAAAAAATATCTAAACTAGACCTTAGTCTTTTATCATGCTCAGTTAGGAACATATAAAAAGAACATCAGAGAGCAAAACCCAATAAAAGGCCTTCAAACAGCTCCTAAAGACAATTAAAATAATGATATTTTGTAAACTCAAAGTTCCACTTGGTTACCTTACATCTTTTTAAAACCTCTCTTCCAGCTATTTTCAAATAATGATATGAATTGCTTCTATTTTGGATAACTTAAACCTGTAGCAACATAAAATCTACCAACCAACCGATGGTTCAAAATCAAAAGTCAAAACAAATACAGAAAAGTTGTGATAAACACTTCCAAAAACAAATCCTGTTGCACACGTATCATCTAATCTTCCTTGTCATCAGATGCACGTTCATCTCTGCTATCACCAACAGCGGCTGCAGCAGCAAGTTCAGACCGGTCCCGACCACCAACCACCAACGGTTCTTCTTTTCCAATGGTTGCAATAAGAAATATGACAGCAACCAAAAACACAAGGATGTAAACAGTTCTCATTCCAAGAAGTGAAGTTATATACCCAAAAAACGAAGGCCCAAATGTCTTCTCAATAGTTTTCCCATCTTTATATCTTTCAAGAAACAGCGTGATTTGTGATCCTTGATCCTCACTCTCAATCTTTTCTGAACCAATAACCTGATTCATATTCATACCAATCAACACAACATCAAAAACTTCAAAATATGGAATCCTAATTTATGAAAATGTTGGAAACTTACTGAGAAATATATTTCATTTCCATCCCAAACCACCATTTTAGGCAATGAAGTTTTCCTATCAACTTCAAAAGCCTCAGCAAACTCTTGCCATTGGTTAAAACTCACATATGCAAATACAAATTCACGATTTGCAGATGCAGCACCTCTCAGTAACTTTATAAATTGCTTTGATTCATAATGTGTCTCATCCTCAAAAATTGTCAAAACTATTTTCCTCTTATCATCTTTCAACAGCTTTAAACTGTCTGGACTGATCGGTAGGGTTAATGGTAAAAGACTCTGTTGAATAAACTCTTCCACAAACTTATCTGCATGTTATGTTAAAATTACAAATTTTATCATTGATTAAAATACACAATGCAATTTGAAACTTAACTAACCTTCAAATGGACCATAAAAGATGTTTTGTTCATTGAAGCTTGGATGAAGAGCTAGCAAAGCAGGTGCTTTATCAAAATCATATAAGCCCATGGTTTTCTCTGAGAAATCTTTTGCTACAGAAAACCATGCCTTTTTCTTGAATTTAATCGCCACTTTTGATAGTGCTGACTCATCAACATTAAACCCTATGAATATAGGGAAAAATGTTCCAGCTGCTTCAACAAACTCAGTAACACCAGAATCGGATTCAAGAAGAGTAACATCAGGAGCAACAAATTTCTTCAAGTATCGAACTAGTTTGTCTGCTTTTCTTGGCCCATAGTAGTCAGTGGGAACTCCATTCATAAAAATCTTTAAGGTGGGGTACCCACTGTATTATAATTACATCACAACAAATGAAATGAGTGTTTTAGATATATCTTCTAGTAATTTTGGAGCTCATAAAGAAACAGATTGAATATTTGTTGTTTATTGGAAAAAAAAATGAAGACATGGAACATACTCTATTTCATATTTTGTAGCAAGACGTGAATACTTTTCAGCATCTATTTTTGCAATCGCAATGGGCTTCTTTAATCCAGAAAGCATAGGAGCAGCTTTATCTAACTGAAATGAAACAATAACAGTTTCTCAGCTTTCATCACATGGTATACAATAAGTCACTTTCTCTGTCAAGTTGTTCTTTCTGAATTAAGTAAAAAAGAAGCACCCATATAGATTGATTAAGCAACAATCAAACATAGATAACTGGTTGGTTGTCTGCACATGATTAAAGTAAACTTTCAAGATTCTGCATTTTGTTCATTGTAGCCTAGAGCCTTGAAACGATGTTGGTTTAGAAGGCTTTAGGTTCCATTAAAGATGGTTCTTGACTTCTTGTCTCACCTTTGTCTGTTTTATAAAGTTGAAGTTACTAACTGTGTCTATGTTCAAATCAATTTCAAGCATCTCAAAAACGATTAGGAGTAAATAACACTGGGGATGCTTTATGTGTACACTATATAGTTTCCCCTGAGTTTATTAATGAAATTTATTGTGCATACGATTCTCTCAAATTACTGATCATCATCAACCTTCAACCGATTCATTAGTTTTAACAATAACCATAGTATGGATAAGACCTTTCATCCCAGGGACCTCTTGCTAAGTGAGGAGTAAGGTCACCTGGGGTTTAGCACATAAACACGATAACCTATGATCAGTAATTTACTACCGAATTACAAATCCCTTTTAAGTAAATAAGAAAAGATGCTGAAATCTGAACACACATAATATATAGAAACGCAATAAAAAAATAAGACCTACCTCTGGACTAAGACGTTTGCAGTGGCCACACCATGGGGCATAAAAATCAACGAAGATGAAGTCGAAGGATGAAATTGCGGCATCGAAGTTGGACTCATCAAGAACCAACACCTTCCCATCTAGCTTAAACTCGTGGGAAGAGATCGAAGGGAGAAGAAGCGAGACGATGGAAAGTGATAGTATGAAGAAGACGGATGACATCTTTGAAGAATTCCCAGAAACAAAACAATGGAATCTAAAACTACTCCAGTCTCCAAAACCAAACCATGGATCGGGACTTTGTCAACAGAATAACCATTTTACTCAAAAATCGTCCCTCGACTATTGGCTAACCTGCAGATCTAATTTATCACATATTTTTGCACATTTGATCTAAATTACTGATGTTCTATCATTTTGGTCCCTAATGTAGCCACTAGCGTCATTCCTACAAAAAGCATTGTTCTAAAAATTTTGATTTTTTTAGGCTTCTATTAATCTTCTTGTCCTTAGGCGCTATCGGGCCTTTTAGATGACACCTAACAATTAATCCCCATCTCGACAATGAGAAAAGCTGTAGAAGCCGGTAATTTTTTTAACTTTTTGAAGAATATATATCGCAATAGAAACTATTTGAAAATAATTAATGTTATATTAATTATTTTAACCTATTTTGATATGATATCAGTGGTATTTATTAATTTTTTTTTTATGATATTAGTCATATTTAATTTTTACTATTTGTATTTAGGGTCTCCGACTAGTCGTTGACTAATCTTTAGTCGCTAGTCGACCGACTTAGTACCGTCTAACGACGACTATTTGTCAATGTACTTACAAGTCAAGAATACATCAATACTCATGATCATCACAACAAACATTAAAATCATTACTAATACCATAAACTACAACAAAAAATTACAAATAAATCAATTGTGAAAAATTGGGAATTGCAAGCATTATCTAAAAATAAGTGTCGTTACAAGAACTAATAATAGTAATTATACAACTAATGTTGTATTTAAATAAATAAAATATGAATATTGAATGTTTAAATAATCTGAGAATAAAACTTTTCCAATTATTTTTTTAATTTAGTTTTAATAATAATTTATTTTATTAAGTGATTGAATGAATTAAAGAGTTTGATTGATTTAAATAGAGATGGAAATCATAAACGAGTCCCATGCGAAATTTGAAATAAAAAGGGGTACAAAAGTAAAGGAAGAGTACTCGTAATAGTATCCTTTATGTTTCTACACGAGAAAACACATATAGAAATTATTGTTCAATCATTAGACATATTAACTGTTAAAGAGTTATCCCTTTGTGAAAAGAAACGTTTTTTTAGGTTTGTTCTTATATGCATGTCACATGACTTTTATATGACGGTTGATTATATATTTGTTATTATTATTTTTCATTCCATAACACGTAACATGTTTAAATTGCTCTCACAAAAGAAGAAATATTAAGGAGTATATGAATGTGATGCAACAAATGTCATATACTAAAGCTGATAAGCTTAAGACAAAAGTTGAAGTCAAAAAATTGACATGGCAGGAAAAAAAGAAAGTTGCAGACGAAGAAGAAGAAGCCATTACAGAACTCATCAAAGAGCATACAAGATGGGTACGACTGTATTAATGATTATATATATATATATATATATATATATATATATATATATAGATATATATATATATATATATATTAGTTGTATTATATATTTATATATACTACAATCAATATTTGTATTGTAATGTCTTTTTGGCAGACCACTATGATTGAACATATGGACAACCAACAGATGAAATTGTATCTGAAAGAAAGATCAGAGAGTTTGAAAACTCTGAAGATTGAAAAGCTTGAACCCATCAAAAGGGTAGGAAATTTTCTTCCTAGGACAATTGGTAAAAGTTTAACGTGTTTGGTGAGAGACTTTGGTTCGAAAATTTCCTAGGAAATCCTTCGGAAATTTTGAGAAACTTCCTATGAACCACTTAAGTGAAACACTTCTAATGTAAATGTGAAAATCTTTGGCATATTTGAAAAAAATGATATGATTTGTTTATAATAATAAAATGGTAATATAAAAAACTACCATATAATTCATCGGTATTTCATACTTATTACCGAGGAACTTCTAAGGAAATGCCAGAAAGATGTTTTTCTCGGAAGTTCCTCGGTAATGAATAGGAAGTAGCAAGAAATTTCTGGTCTAAGGAAATTTTTGTAGGAAACTCCACATTTTTCTAGTAGTGAACATAAAATATGTTATTATAAGGTGGTTTTTTCACTAGTTGTTGGTATGAAATAAGGATTTACATTATAATATCATTTATAATTACATGGCTTAAATCATGTATAAATAGTTGAAAGAAAATAATATAAGTTAAGAGTTCTTATGAGGTTTTGATGATTTTGCAGGTGAAAAAGGTTCAGAAATGCATGAATGCAAAGAGCAGCGGAATCATGTCAACAGTATGGAAATTCCATAAAAAAGAGAACAAGTGATATGAACAAAGACAATTGGTTAATCACTTATGGTATATCGGTTAACAACTTTAATTTCTAATGTATTAGCCATGTACCTTGGTTGGTGGATCTTTTAAGTGGTATTAAATGGTAGAATATCTTATTTAGTAAAGAAAATCACATTCTTCATGATTTCATTTGTAATTTATTTAAAGAGACATGAACTCCTTGGCAATTATGGGTTTAATGGTTTAAACTTTGCTTATTATGTACTAATATCTCGATAACTGGGGATATTAGTATGGATTGGTGCTTAAATGATGATACTTATTACAGATTTCACAATAATGATCAAGTTATTATTATGGGTTTTCTAAGTTGAAATCTAAGAGATGGAACAAAGCAGAAATTACAAAGATGTTTTGGGCCATATCCCTACTTTGTAAATTATAAATCTGGAAAGATTACTCTAGATTGTGCTTTAATATGGATTAGGTCAAAATATAAAAGAGAGATTTTATAGGTCATATCGACTTAGGTCATCTTGAACTTTATAGAGCTCAATGGATTGCCACATCATATTTTTACAATCAATATAATTCTATTATTTATTTTTCTACAATGCATTGAACTCTACAAAGTTCAATAAAATATTACAAAAATGTATTTTATAGTATATATTTAAGAATTAAAAACTTTCTTTTTTTCCATTGAATATATTTAAGAATTAAAAACTTTCTTTTTTTCCATTGAAGAGTTCAGTGACTATTGAACTTCAAATCCATTGAATGTCAATGTGACATCTCATAACGGTAGAGTTTCATCCATTGAATGATACTTAGACTCGTCACCACATTCAACTATATCATTAAACTCATCGTTGTAGATGCTCTTAGAACTCATTATATGTTGACACGTTGAAATGAAACGTTAAAAGTGATAAATATGCTCCAGAAAGGAGAAGGAATCGGTAAGTAATGACGTTAGCAATCATGGCCACAAATACATGAGTTTATGTGAATTTAAACACGATCACTTCAAATTCAAGTGATTTGCTTTTGTAAAGTGTTAATACTTTACGTTTTAATAATGTATGATTCTATATGTTTTTTTTTACCAATTATGATGGATATGGTTGTTTGTATGACATGATAATAAGAATGTTGATAGCAATTGCATAAAAATTGAAAATATATATACCAAAAAAACGTGGCATTAAATTAGTTGAAGGTGTAGAGTATGTAGACAAAAGATATGTCTAGGGTCTAAAGTTGATAATAAAGGGAAAAGTCAAAAATGACTTTGACCACATAGTACCTAACATTAATCTGGTCTAGGTATGTAAACAGGGATATGTTCAGGTTATAAACATATTTATAATATTATTTTTATACATTTTTTTGGTATGAATCATATCATTGCCAGTTTTTTCACCCCTATAATAAAAGAGTTCTTTATACTTGACATACTAATCATATTTATAATATTATTTTGTTTTTTTATATTAATTAGTTAATTATAATTGGTCAAATATATTTAGATCTTACTACAATGGTTGAAAAAGTTCTACGAAGTACTTGTTAGTTAACAGGCTTTCTTGGAAAAGTTTGAGTGAAAAAGTTTCACAAAATATATACTCAATTATATTTTATAGAATGAATTTATTCTTAATGAATTTATGAATTTTTGAATCATGAAAATATATATAAATGTACATTTTATATTACGTAGCTTTAATGAGTTTATGATTTTGAGATTTAACAAAAAGTTATTCAATAAAAACTTACTTTTTGTTGGATAACAAGTTACAAGATTATTAAAAAAACATAATTATTAAACAATATTTTTTTGGATAACCTTTATTTATTTAGTTTATTTATCTAATATGTTATTTAACAAAATAAAATTATTGACAAAAAAGAAAGAAGTTTGATTAAAATGTCTTTACCCCACATCAGGGTGAAGGTAAACAAGAGAATATCTCATCTTTTATAAATATAAAAGACTATGAAATTTTCTAAAATGACTAAGCCATGAGAATTTTCTTGTGCTTGCCTTTATTGGACGTTGAGAGTATTCTTTAGTTAGATTGACTTTGTTGGCAGGTGTCCGATTAAGTTTCAAATTTTCAAAAATGGTTCCTGACTAGATTTTTCTTGGTTCAAATTGGGTTTTAAGTAAAAAAAAAACTTATTTAACTAGGTATATTGAGTTGAACCGCTAAGAGTTTGACTGAGTTGGACTGAATTTGGTTAATATCTGAGTCTTTTGGCCGAGTTGGCCAAACTCGTCTCGGTTGGAGGCCGAGTCCGAGTAACTTGCCTAATATTTGGTGGAGTTAGCCGAGTTATACAACTATGTAACTAATACAATTTTAAGTTCCAACCTTATAAAAGATGTATATTTTATTATATGTTTAACCTAATGATAATATTTAAGATAAACTTTTTAATTTATACATATATTAATAATATGTTCCCTTATGAATAGTGAACTTGCCTTTGTTTTGGCAACTTTGCCCCTTCTTTTTTACCCATTTTGACACTTTTGGTCATTTTTTAAAAACCTTTTTATATTCAAAGTTTGGCCACAAAACTTTAAAGAATTGACAACTATGGTCACTTTTCTAAAAACTTGCTAATTCCAACCCTTCATAGTAAACTTGCCTTTTTTTTTGTCAACTTTGCTCCTTCTTTTTGATCCATTTTGACACTTTTGGTCATTAGAATCAAAAAAATTTCATTTTTTAGGAACCTTTTAATATGCAAAGTTTGGCCACAAAACTTTAAGGAATTGATGACTTTGGTCCCTTTTCTAAAAACTTGCTAATTCCAACCCCTTTAATTCTTTAGTCATTTTGACACTTTTGATTTTGACACTTTTGGTCATTGGAATCAAAATTTTTACATTTTTAGGAACCTTTTAATATTCAAAGTTTGACCACAAAACTTTAAGGAATTGACAACTTTGGTCTCTTTTTCTAAAAACTTGCTAATTCCAACCCTTTTAATTCTTTAGCCATTTTGACACTTTTGGTCCTTACAGTCAAAACTTTTACATTTTTTCATAAAAAACACAAAAAACGGTCCCGGGCGAAGCCCGGATTTTTCCGCTAGTTTAGTATGAAATTATTATTTAATAAATAACAATAACAACTTAAATTTCTTTATATTTTAACTACATAATTTTGTATACGTGCAACTCCAAGTTTCAACATTATATCTTTTAAAATAGTTCAAGATAATTATAATATTTAAAATTATTTTTAGATTTATTATAAATTTTTTATTTAATTGTTATTAACAATGATTAAAAATCATCCTTTAACTATTAATAACAAAGGTTTAGTTATTTTTAATATAACATTTTTTGTCCCTATTTTAACTCGGTAATTTTATACATGTGCAATTCTAAACCGATCGATTTGTGTTTGTGAACTTAAAGTATATAACTTATAACCAATTGCTGAAATTTGCCATCTTTTTAAATATAAAGTAAATAGAATAGAAGTAAAAAAAATCATACAAATTACTCCATCAATGTTTTAAATATACATTGAAAAAGTTTTTCTATCGAAATACAAAACGTTTTTATATTTTTGGACTCTGAATACTACATTTTGAAATGGTTAATGTCATTGTTTCCAATAAAATGTTTAATTTTATGCACTACTATTGTAATAGTTAACATTATTACGTTTGTTTAGTTTTTTGTTAAATTTAAATAAAAACAATTTTTTCTCGAAACTTTGGAATTTTTTTTTTCGAAATTCGCAATTTTAGTCCGAAATTTATAATGTTGTTTCAAAAACAGTCAAAACAATGTTTTTTCTTGGTCTGAAATGCTCATTCCAGACCAAATGATTATTTTTACTATTACTTTTATTATTTTCTTAAAATACACGTTTAAAAAGTAGTTAAATTACTTAATTTTTCTTTATTTTTCCTTAAAAATATATATTATATTTATTAATAATGCAAAAAGTTATGAAAATTGGTTTTAATCCCCTACAGCCGAGCAAGCGAAGATCATTTCCATTGCTTCGTTCCTAGAGACGCTAAACTCATACGCAATACAGACAGACTTTCTGTATTTCACTCTACGAGAACAATATATAGGAGGAGAGCCGATACTCGTATAACAATATATTGAAACTATATCAAACTCCGTTCTTGATCTATTCCTTTTTTTCAGTGTAAGACACATCTTCCACTTTTAGGGTTTCAAACTTGATCAGAAGATTTCTCTTTCATTAGGGTTTTGTGCGTTCATACATGTGTGTTCTTGAATCTTAGTTCGAAGACTGAGAAAATGGTGAATGATTTCGAAGGCGGACGACAAGAAAAAGACATCGTAGGTTCGTATTTCTTGGAGTTATGGAGATCGAAGTCCAAGAAGGCAGCTGTTTCATATGCAAAAGATGTTGAAATGGTGAATTTAGATGATGAATGCGAAGAACTAGAAGAAGAGGAGGAGCCTGTTCCAACGGAGCTTGATACCCTGAACAGTTCGGGCGGGTTCTCGATTGTATTGCCGAATAAGCTATCGGTTCAGTACCCGACCGTGAACTTACATGGCCACGATGTGGGTGTTGTTCAGGCCAATTGCCCCGCCCCTGTCAAGCGTCTTCTCTATTACTTTGAGATTTATGTCAAGAATGCTGGCGCCAAAGGCCAAATTGCAATTGGATTCACTACCGAGGGTTTCCATATGCGCAGACAACCTGGGTATGTATGCAATAACCGATCATCCTTGATGCATATTCATCTAATCCAAAATAATTGACACTTTGTTAGTTAATATGCGCTAGATACTTGTAAATTATGCTTGATGCATTAAAATCTGTAACCGCTATAGTGATGATTTTTCAACTTCAAACCAGAGTCTATATTTTCATAAGAATTCTTATCATGTTGCAAATGAGGGTAGGTCTGTATTGCAACATGAGGCTTTCTTCTATTTTCACGTGGGTTCTATCACTTCCATGGAGTAGAAGATGAAATGAGGAGACATATGTGATGAAAAGAAGAAAATACTTCAATATACAAACCATGACAACACCCAATACCTCTCTCTACCTTATTTATCCACTTGCTCTCACCCTTCAATATCAAACTGAAAAAGAATTGAAAACAGAAACATAAAACATAATGCTTAACTATCCCTTTACCCAAACTGATCTTGTTGCTCCTCATCCATTATCCTTGCTGGAAGCTACATATGTTGCAATTTTTATGCGAGTTCCAATATTAGTGGTTCATGATGGGTTCAGATGTTTTTGCTTTCATTAATCTTGAAAAGAAAATGCAATTTCATTTCACATGGTAGCTCAGGAAGTTACTCAGAGATGTATCTTCTGCTAGTGATGAAGTTGATTAATTGTACATATTACTAAATGGGAACTTATTGATTATTTGGGAGCGTGAGTTCCTTGCAGTAGTCTTGGGTGCCAGAAATAAGCCTACAAGAATCTAGTTTTAGTTTATAGCATGAACTCGGTCCTTAGAACGGGTTAATTTGCATATTTTATATTGTTTGCTTTAGGATAAATTCCTTATCAAAACCAACAAGCTAGAAAATCACTGTTAAACTAACTGAACCTGTTTAGGAAGAGTTATGTCAAGAACTTGGAAGGGCAAATATTCATTGGAAATAGTTACGGGGTATGGATGACATTTGACTTGGGTAATTATGTACCTTTTGTTTTATTATTTGCTATTTACCTGGATATCCATTTTATAAAGATCGAGACTAATGGTAGATTTGGAGAGTCAGGAGAGAGGGAAGCAAAATTAGAAAGAAACACAAGAAAGGACACTAGCTACTACTCACTTCTTCCCTTACAATTTTGTTCACATTAACATAAGACCCTGACTCACTTTAGAGTGAGCATCAATTTTTGAGGATCTTTTGTAGTGCTTAGTTTTGAATGTTACCTGAACTTTTCAAAGGAATATGAACCAAAAGGCAAAAGGTTATTGGGCTAATCCACAGTCCACACATATCCTCCATGACTCCTTTCTAAACTTGCATTTATATGTGTATTTTAGAATCCTACTTTCTCATTTCTTTCTGTTAGAGCATTTATATGTGTACTTATTAAGGCTTTGTATTTTGTGACAGGTGGGAAGCAAACAGTTTTGGATATCATGGGGATGATGGACTGCTTTATCGTGGACATGGAAAAGGAGAGGCTTTTGGCCCAACTTATTCCACTGGTGATGTAGTTGGTGGTGGTATTAACTATACTTCACACGAGTTCTTTTTCACGTAAGATTCTTACTTAACTGACTGAGTTTCTTATATTTGCTTCTCCAGTAGTTCTTCTTTCAGACATTTTACAGTAATTTGTTTCTGATGCCAGAAAAAATGGTCAAGTGGTTGGAACAGTAGAGAAAGATGTAAAAGGTCGCTTATATCCTACAATTGCTGTTCATAGTCAATATGAGGAGTAAGCTTGTTCTTTCTTTTCAATATTCAAATTTTCTTCATACTTTATCTATAATTTGGGTTTCAGCGGATTGCCCAACTGGCTATCATTTGTTTGGAGTATGCGTGTCATGTATATTCAAAATAAATTTGAGCTTCTGCTACTTGAATAATTGAATGTATGGTTTGGTTATATGTATTGGGATTTCATTGGATGATTCGTTTTTGTTTTAAGCTTATTAAGTTGTTGAGATATTTTGCCAATCTCCTAATATCCACAAAATTTGATGTTCTTTTGTATGGTATTATTTTATTGCAGGGTGATTGTGAATTTTGGGAAAGATCCCTTTATTTTTGATCTCAAGGTACCATATCATTTTTCAAGTTCTATTGTCGTGTTTGGTTTTTACAGATAGCTTTCTGCAATGGTTTTTATTCGTTGTTATAATTGGATAAAAAAGTTGAATATTTATATAACACTTGCTACATAAATTTGCATGCAAGCATTTTCTGTTTTCTTGCATTATATATTAGATAGTTGTTATGTGGTGCAATATAACATGATTTTGTGTTTATATTGGTGAACAGGCATATGAAGCAACTTTAAGGGCAAAGCAACAGGCGGTTATTGAAAGAATACTTATACCGCAGGCAGCCAGTTATGGGTATGTTCAAATTTTGGATTTATTTTAAGTCTGATCCTTATCAAATTTAAATATCGGATTGGAAGTTTAGTGGATAATCTGGTGTTCATGTTCTTAGATAGTTTTGTATATCTATAATATTTGTATGCATAATAGTAATATGATGATGTACAACTAATTTGGTTATCAGAATTATTCGTTCCTACCTACAACATTATGGGTATGAGGAGACTCTGAATGTGTTAGATGAGGCTAGCCAAACTTGTATTCCTCCTATTACTACTGGTGTTCATGATAATGGCTTCAACGAGTATGGTGCCTATGCATTAAACCACAGAAAAATTCTGAGAAAGGTATGAAATGGATCATATGGTATTTGCTTATGATATGACTTCGTTTTAATACAACATTGATTGATGGTTTGGTAGCTTTTTCTTCTATAAATTATGTTCCTTTCTTGACTTATATTATTTTTTTTTGAAGCTAATTAAGGATGGTCAAATTGATGATGCATTTGCTAAACTCCGTGAGTGGTATCCTGAGACAGTTGAGGTAATGATTCTGTTATTATATTTTTGTGTTGCTTAATCATATTCATTCATACAAGAAAATTTTGCTTCTAAAAGTGTTTTAAGACATTTACTTATTAGAACATCATATCATAGTTTAAAAAATCTACCCAATTGTAACATTGGGTGAAAATTTCAAAAGTACAATGTTGTAATAGATAGAAAAAACTAAAAGTGCAAGTATTTATCCAAAAAAAAAAAAAAGTAGATGATCTTATTCTAGAGCACAGCAGCAGCATATGGTAGAAATGATAAGAAATATTTGGCCTGTGTGCAGGATGATACATCAGCCATTTGTCTTATGCTACAGTGTCAAAAGTTCATTGAACTAGTTCGGGTAAAATAAAATTTCCAGCTTTAAAGACTTAACTATCTATGTCAATTGTCTGAAAATCTATTTGGTTTTTACTTTTTATTAGGTTGGGCATCTAGAGGAAGCTGTGGAGTATGGAAGGAGTCATTTTGAGAAGTTTTACAAGTTGAAAGAGTATGAAGATCTTGTTAAGGTAAGCCCTTAATTATTCCCACAACCTTCAGAATAAATTAATACCAGTAAGTGTTTGCTGATGAGGAGGGTCTTTTGTTGTATATAAAATGTGTAGGACTGTGCGGGTTTATTGGCGTACGAGGATCCAAAGAAATCAGGGGGGTTGGGATATCTTGTGGAGGATTCACAGAGAGAGAACCTGGCGGATGCAGTGAACGCACTGATATTGTCAACAAATCCAGAGGAGGAGGCGACTAAAAAAAGCTGCCTGCATTCATATCTGGAGAGGCTGCTCAGGCAACTCACAGCTTGTTTCTTAGAAAAGAGGCTGCTCAATGGAAATCAAGGGGAAGCTTTCCATCTCCCAAGAGTGCTCCTTGCTAAGAACAATTAATTACTTACACTTGTTTTTTCTTTTTAGATCAAACAGATTCATTCTCTCTGTCCATATATGTCTGTCTGTCCTCTTGAGCCTTTCTATTTTTTTTTAAATGTTTCCGTTGTAATACTAAACCACCCAAATATGTACATTTTCTGAATTTGTAACTGCTATTTTGCATGGCATTCAGCTTTTCTTCTTATTTTGGGGTTTTTTTTTTCAAGCTATAAGGGATGCTATGTTTTATGCAACACTAGAACATTAAAAACAACACTCACAACTCATTGTATTTCAAGCATACAATCAGTTTTGAATGTATACTTATTTCTATCATCTCACAGCCAACATTTTTATAAAGAAAAATTAATCTTGTATTGTCTAAAACCTTAATAATTACCAAAACATGTCATCTTTCAAGAGTTTACAACACTAAAAATCATATAAGAAATTGTAGATACATCCTTTTATGTTATCGCCAAAGAAAGGGTTTTAAAAATAGCAATCCACTTTGGTGAAGCTACAATTTCTTTGCCAAAAATTTTCAACAAGCTGTTCCAAGTAACAACTACTCTGCTGCTGATGAAGGTTGACCAAAGATGGAACTTTTTCTATATGTACTGTCAAATTCACCATTTTGCAAATGGATGACCCTCCATAAACATTGCCGCTTTCATGATTATGATCATTATTTGCAAGCTTCAACCTCTCCAATCATCATTACTTTTATAGTAAGTCACAACCAAATCACTCATTAAAATAATTTTTGACAGCCATTTAGTTTCGTCTTTGTTCATTTAATAACAACCATATATGATATACCCAAGAAATTGTGCCGCATTTTGCACGTACTCCATAAAATTTTTACGATTGTCCAATACCTAACGAATGAAAAAATCAAATTATAAAATTCCGTAATGCTTACAAATATATTGAATTTATCCAACTATAAATATATACATGTTCAGGGTGAAAATGCATTGTCATCGATTGACATGTACATAATGGCAATTTATTTTCTTTTTTGGGCACCGTATGATGAAAGTCTTTGGTTTGAAAGAAATGAGTGCATTTCATTCGGAATATGTTGATTATCAAAGTAAAAGGTAAAGATTCTTTTTCGGAATTAATGAAAGCTACGAATTATGCCGTGAATGGTGACATAAGTTATGATTCCTGTTATAGACACACAAATCTATTCTATTATATTTCATTATATGTCTACTTTTTTCATCGTTATACTTAACAACAGTTTCTTTACTTTATTATGTCTAATCATTATTGCTTTTATTATTTGATGATTACACTTTTATGAGTAATTTTATTAATATTATTAAATGTAAATCCACAAACTTAATACTCCCTCCGTCCCAATATTATTGTCCACAGACAAAAAACACACATATTAAGAAAAACATTAATTACCACTAACTTTATTTAATAAAATGACAGTTTTGTTCTTACTTTGCATTTAATGTTCCATTAAATGCTTAGTTGGTTAAGTAATAATGAGGGGGTATTTTGTTAAAATTTTATTTATTTTTAGAAGTGGACTATTATTTTGGGACAAACCAAAAAGGAAAGATGGACTATAATTTTGGGACGGAGGGAGTATATTTTATTTTTTTCTATTTCTATAAACCTAATATATATATATATATATATATATATATATATATATATATATAAATCCTGACCAAATTCTCATTATTCTTTTAAAACTTAAAAAAAATTTATTTCCGTATTAAATGATTAAAATACCCTTACAAGTATATTAGTGTAATTAATTTATATAACAAATCAAGTCATAGTTTTTTTTTTTTTTTTTTTTTTTTTTTGTAACGACAAATCTAATCTACTTTTAAATTACATCTTAATTTCACCAATGTCCACAACGAGACTTAAACCCTCAACTTCAAGAAGAGGCAACACCGGATACCGCTGACATCCCAACATTGTTCACCAATTAATTCATCAATATAAAATTTGATTTTGTTAATTGTTTATATTATTATTAACTGCCAGCAACATTAAATAAGTTTGTATAATAAATAAAAAACATTATGAATAAATTTTTCTAAAATGATGAACTCGTGTCTACATGTAAATCTATATATTTATTACAAGAATGTAACTTGTGCCACTAACTTTTGGACGACGAAACATTTGCATTAATTAGTATAAAAATTAATAATAAGCATGAATATATTTAACTAAAATGAGCATTTATGAATACTTATAAAATGCGTGTCTTATAAATATTAAGATATAAATGATTTCCACAAAAACCATGTAAAAATGTTGATTTTGAAAAAAAAAAAAAAAACAATGAGTCTCCACAGAAAAACTTATTGGGAATTGAAAAATAAAAAAAGATATGAAAACTAACCAATCAAGATCTATCAGCGTCAAAGTCTCAATACCATCATAAATAGTTAATGATGAAAACTAAACTGGTGTGTGATAGATGTATAAAAGAGTGACGTGTAAAAAAAATACTCTAAGTTATTAATAATGCCAGTGTGTAAAGAGGTATTTTGACAATTGTTTCATCGGGAAAATGACTTAGGAGGGTAATTACCTCTTATCCGTATTTACATATTGGCAACTTTTTTTTTTGTACATAAAAAAGCAACTAACTTGTTTTAACTGTTTAAATTATACCAATATTACCGGCTAATACATGTTTTAACCGGTAACTCAAAGGAAAAATGACTTAGGAGGGTAACTACCTCTTATCCGTGTTCACATATTGGCAACTTCTTTTTTTTTTTTTGTACATAAGAAAGCAACTAACTTGTTTTAAGTGTGTAACATCCCAAAAATCATGACCAAAAATTTCGTTTTTAATTTAATACTAAAACCATAATTGTCAAACCATTAATTTAATACTCCGGCATTGGGCCCCGCTCGACATTAGGCCCCGCCCGGCATTAGGCCCCGCCTGACATCGAGCCCCGCTCGGTATACAGATCTGTCTCTCTTAGGCCCTGCCCGAGGAATGTTTGCATGTTAGATTATACTTGTTGTCTGTGTGATACTTGTATGTGCCTGGTAGGGAGGTGAGTGTGGGCGAGGTCCCGTATCTCATCACCAGCTTGTTGGAATCCTAAGTCGATGACGATTTTGAGACCAAACAATCTAATTTATGGAAAGTTTAGTTTATGGCAAGTTGGTCATAAGTTTCCTAGTCTAATACAAGTTGGTTTGTTAGGCTATATATACATATTCATAATCGAGTTTATGATTATGAGAAAAGATTGTATCCAATATTGGTTTTGAGTTATTTTCCAATTAATCAAAGAGGTGTTTGATTAAAACTGTTTTGCAATTACGTTTTATAAACTAGATAGCTGAGTACGGACGGGGTTCCGTATCTCATTATTAGCGGAGTATGTTTCTTAGGACATAGATACAGTAGAGTATGTTTCTTTATGTGTTAGCATGTTATATGATTGTATGTGTTTAGCGGGCGGGGCCCGGAGACAGGCGGGGCCTAAGAGAGACAGATCTATATACCGAGCGGGGCTCGATGCCAGGCGGGGCCCAATGCCGGAGTATTAAATTAGTGGTTTGACAATTATGGTTTTAGTATTAAATTAAAAACGAAATTTTTGGTCATGATTTTTGGGATGTTACACACTTAAAACAAGTTAGTTGTTTTCTTATGTACAAAAAAAAAGAAGTTGCCAATATGTGAACACGGATAAGAGGTAGTTACCCTCCTAAGTCATTTTCTTTTTGAGTTACCGGTTAAAACAAGTATTAGCCGGTAATATTGGTGTAATTTAAACAGTTAAAACAAGTTAGTTGCTTTCTTATGTACAAAAAAAAAAAGTTGCCAATATATGAACACGGATAAGAGGTAGTTACTCTCCTAAGTCATTTTCCCTTGTTTCATCTGTACGGTCGACCTTAGACCTACAAATTTGACTTTTTGTGTGTGTGTGTTGGGATGGGTCTTCCAAAAATTAATTTATTTAAAAAACATTTCCACAAAGGTTTTATATTTTATATTCTTGGCTTTGCATAGGGAGTTTGTCCAATCAAATAAAGTGAGGGATCAACATGTAATTCGGTTTGATGTGACACACATCTTGAGGAACTTTATCGTCCATTGAAAGAATTGAATTATTCGAATCAAAACAAATGTCAGTAATTAGGCTAAAGGGTGTGGTGGTTGTTTTGACAATGATAAATGTGTGACACATGCCACAATTAGTGGGGGTGTGGTGATATTTTTACCTTTGACCAATCAATAGTTAAAAATTCATAATTTGCCATCGGTAACCTATGAGATTTGACACCGGCAAAAAAAGGTGTTGGGCTGTGGTGTTTACCGCCGGTAAAACAAACCATATCAGCTTGCCGGTGGTAAATTAGTAGGAAACTGTATAGCCTTAGTGCAAATTACATACACCATTGTCTAACCTGTAATGACCATTGTTTAACCTGTAAAAACAAGATCTAGTCCAGGATGAGCTATATAGTAGCCTTATATGTTTAGTAAAGTTATTTTCATACAATATAGGGATATCATGTATTACATCTTTGTAAAGAGGAAAGAGTTGATAACATGATTTACGTATATGATCATTATGCTAGGCAAAAATTGAATGTTTGGTTGCCTACTCAGTTAAATCTCTCTAAATGACCATTTTAGGCTCATTGTTGTCTTTTTCTCATTTTAGCTTCTATTATATAATTATTTTTTATTTGTTTTACGTGTATATATCTTAAAATATATGAATTATGAAAGTAATTTTACATAGAGAAATTAAATATTCTCCTAACTTTTGTTAATACTTTTCTTCCTACCTATTTAAGATGATGACAAATGTACAAATTTAATATCTCAATCATATTTAAATTAAATTAAATAACACTTGTCACTATCTAAAATAGATAAGAAGATAATAGTCACAAAAAATAGGAAGATATTTAATCTCTTTTACATATTAACATCTTATGTTAGTTTATTCTGTCGGAAATATATGATTAATACACCTCGCGCAACGCATGGGTCATCTCCGCTAGTTTGTATTTTATACATGACTCTGCATGCATGAATGGATGCAATCAAGGATGACAACAATTTTTTTCACATTTAATATTCAACTTATATAAATTTGTATATTCCATTGTTTGTATATGTTCGATCTTATTTATTTAACTATAATTTATGAGCTAGTAATTTTGTGCAGTAGTCAAACTTATTAAATTTGAAAACTTTTATGCTTTTATCTTAAACCGAACTAATGAAAATAACTTTTTTTTTCTATAATAAATATAGATATATTTAGATGTAAAAATACTGTATATCTACATGACACATAATATAATATTAATGATAATATTAATGAAGAGTTGTATTAGAGTGACATTTGACAAAAAGAGATTAAAACTATTTATTTATTAGAATAAGGATGATTTTTGAAAGTAGTATATTATGTTTTCTTTTTATGAAGGACCAACCCACAAACCCGCACCACCCAGTAATCTACTTATAAAGCCAAATCTTTATCCCAAGCCAGACTTAGAACCCTAAATCATTATAGAATAAGCATTCAGTGTACTATCAATCTCGTTAGTTGTTAGAGAATCACAGGAGTTGCAAAATTTTTGCACAAAAAAATAATAATCAACATATACTATATGGAAAATGTCAGAAAAATACAACCAACCAAAAGAAAACCACTATATTAATTTTATGCCCCTTAAAATCCTCTCTTTTGAAACCTCTAATTGTGTTCTCAATAAGATGTCTATAATAGGTTGTGCAGGTCTGTTAGAAGACATTTAATAATAGGGATTTTTCTGTATGCAACAAAATAGTGTTGGTGTTGTGCTTTTCTGAAATTATATAAGATGGAACATATTTAGTGAAGAAGAGACTAGAAATCACATCACATAATACACCGAAAAAAGAAGCAACAAAACAATTTCCATAATAATATGCTGCATGGCACTTGAATAGCCAATGCTGAAACAACATCACATGTCAAAATCTAATGAAAATGATTAGAAAACAAGACATTCATTAAGTCGTCTGCATTATTGAGATTAAACACAAGGGGGAAAAGAAAAGAGTAATGAGGGTGGAGGGGGGGGATTAACCAGATTTAGCCTTGTTTTGCTGGAAGACAACAGCAAAAATTGGTACTCCAACACCAATGCTGAAAGCAGTGAAAACACCAAGAGTCATGGTCAGCTTCTGGTTCTTCATGCGGTCCAAGTTGTACATGTGCTTTGAATGCAAGTACGCTGGCTCATCATGACCATGTGCATGTCCTCCCATTCTCTTTGCTCCAGTCGAATGGATACCCGCTCTTTGTACTGCAAAAAAAAACAAAAAAAAAAACTCAATACATACTCATAATCAATTAATCATATCATGTCTTCTTCTCACTACATCCATCAACTGACATAACACTTTTTTGTTTCTTTTCTAGACTCAATAAACCCTTTCAATCAAACATTGATCCCTAAACTAGAACTAAGGATAAACCTTCTTATGATCAGATATCATAAATTAACTGAGAATTCCCAAAATGAGTTTTCCACAATAAAACTTTCATATCAACAATAAAATTGTTCACTAGACAGCATTTGATTCATGTATAGAAATAGAATGACATATCCCAATAACCCTTGTCATTGTAGGTTCAGCATTCAGCAACAACTTTCTTGCCACTCATATTTTTTTTGTGAAGAAATTGTAGATAAATATAAACAAACCAATAGTTTTGTAAAATATTCAACTTTGAAGCACTAACAAGTAACAAACAAATCCCATTATAAAAGCTACCTATCTAAAAGATAAGAATTTGACTTGTGCATTTTAATTTTTCTCAATTTCCAAATCCACATGAGAGGTAGAGTTTAAAGGGGAACTAGTATCAGAATCAAAAAGTCATGACTGATGTCGTTGATAGATGGAGAGAGCTGAAAGATTTTGGAACAATTAAAATCTTTTAGACATCAATATGATGCAAGTTAATCATCACATGATCATGTTTTTCGTTTTCAAATTTATAAACAAGGTAAGCATTACTGGTTTAAAAACAAAAGAATCACTGATTCATAAATCATAAATATTCCCCTATCATTCATTTCTCCGACTTGAACAGTATGCTGCACATACCCAAAACGGCGAATTTCCACAAGCACTTTTAAAATAATTTCTTTCCACAGAAGGCAAACCAAAGTAATGAACGGGTTGAATACGTCAAAAAAAAAAAAACATGCTATAATCAATAAGATTCAGCCAGATCTATACACAATACAGTTAGCATCGTGCACATAGATCAGTAGACAAAATCGCATTAAAGTGCGATCCGAACGAACCAACACCACCGTACGTTTAGTACGCTACGAAATACAAACATATAAATATCAAAAAGTCAAATCAATTTAGCACATACCATAATTCAATGTTATATCGAGGGGAAATTAATACCTAGAACCTTATAAATGAGATTAGGGAAGGGATTTTTACCAGACTTAGCGAGAGACGACTCGGCAGAGACAAGCAGCTTTGAAGCGCATGATCTCAATCCGTTGTTCAACGCCATAGATAGGTTAACGATGGTATTGGTGCCGGAAATAGAGAGAATAATGAAAGAATAGTCCTCAGGTGACTCGATCAGGAAGCAAAATTAGGGGTGCGGGGGATATAAAGCATAAACGGAGGAGAGGGGCGACTGACTCGTCGGCAAATTTGGGCCGTAGTTTAGTGGGCTAACAAATCTGTACTCGCTTTCCTTTTTTTGGGATATGTAACATGACCAACCCCTGAAGTTCAGCACAATTGTAGGAATCACACAAAAGTCTTAGAAATTACTAAAATACCCGGTTTTGGGAAGACCTTGCTCAAATGCAAACAAAAATCCTACCAAAAATGTTGAACAAATGTCTGTTCATCCTCTATCTACCGGTTTTGAAACTGAGGATATTGTATTTTTGTAAACTTTTGAGTTCCAGTTTAGCAATTGTTTTGTTACAAAAATATATATTTATTTTGAACAATGTTAATTGAATTTTTTGTTGATAATACGAGTACGCACTACTAGTTACCTATCCAAAATTTACGAAACCTATAACCAGTCCTAGAAGCTTGATCACAACGGCTCTTCCAACTGATCCTAGAACCCAACAAAATCAATCCAAATAGCATTAAAAAAACACAAGTGAATAAACTTTTGGGTGACAAATGTGATGAACTTTTTGATAGTAGAGGACATATATGAAAATGGTTACTAAGCTGGAAGAGAAACAACCATGGTGAATAAAATTGTTTAAAAAATAAAAGACAAAAACATGTGATACTTTATTTATAGAGTAAATTACATGAATGGTCCTATGGTTGTGTAAAAATTTACGTGTTTGGTCTCTAACTTGATTTTTTAACTCGGACCGTCTATACTGTTTACTTTTGTTGCACGTTTGGTCCCCGACATCCTTAAAAAAATGCTATTTTACCCTTCTTTTTTTTACTTATTTTATTAATTATATAATTATTTATATTATTAGTTTATTCAAAAAACTGTTTAATAAAATGCTTCCCTTACTGTCCTACCCCCTTAAAGTTATTACCCATCTAAAACACCACCTCCACCATCAACCCCGTCACCTCCGACCATCTCCATCGGTGACTCCCAGTCATTCACCACCGACGACCACTATCGTTCCAGCTAATCTCATATGCTCTGCCACAAATTAATCTATAACACCATGAAATCTAAAATTCAATCCTCAAATCCATTATTGAAACCTAAAACCTGTAAATCAATCAAAAAACGACCATGTTTTCTCTCCCAAAAATCAATCTAAACCCAAATCTATTTGATCAATTCGTATATCAGAACTTGTTTTCATAAAAAAAAAAATCGAGGCTGCAAAATCGGCAAAACCTGGTCACATTTATGTACTAGATACAATCTACAGGGGAAGAAAATCAAGATTCATCCAAACCAGTCGAATTTGACAGAAACAAAAATATAAGCACACAAGAGGATCCAAGTTACAAATGAAGAATTGCTCTGATTAGATACATTGTAGGAACAAGATACCCAAAACACTAGCTCAACAAGATGAATCCGATCGATGAGATGAGATAGGAGTTTTTTTTTGCAATTGACAAACCTACAAACTCATCAATCAATCCCTTTCTCTGCTTCATCTGGTAGCCGGAAGTAGCAGTGGTCATCAGTAAATCTCCCCACCCCTTCATCTTTACCTTCTCCTCTTCCACCATCACCATCGACCACCTACATCAGTGTCGAGCACCTGTATCACCATTGATGAAATCGGAGGCAATTCTGACCATATCAACCACTCAAATCTGGTGGTTGTGTTGTCACCTGAGTTGATTCCAACCACTAGGATTTGAAATCATCAAGTTCTGGAAGCCCTCGTTTTCTTCTCCCTCGTCTGCAGGTGTGAAGGAGGGGAGGAGAGGGATGGGGGATACTGTCTACAAACATTTCGCCTCGTTCACTTGCGATTTTCGTTGATGCAGATGGCGTTTTCCGACGATGGTATTTACCAGTGAGATGAGAACAAGAGGGAAGATGACAATGGTTTGTGGAACGAGAGTGTAACATCCGGTTTTGAATTGCTTTATTATTTGGGGTTGTGGCCCGATCATCAATTATCATAAGGCTTAGGGTGAAACATCCCAAAAAATAGTCCAAAAATTTCGTTTTAAACCAGTAATAAAAACCATCAATATTATCCATCACATAAAAGTCACAACCATGAATCTCAAAAATATCATAATATCTATCAATGTATCAAAATCATATGTCAAAAATCAGAGTAAATCCTCCCAGGCTAAAAAACTGTGGTGTGTGCCATGCAGTCATCCCGAGCTCTTCCCCTTACTAGCGGAAGTACCTGAAACTAAAAGTGAAAAACTGTAACCACGAAACTTAGTGAGTCTCCCCAACTACCACATACCATACACATATCACATAAACATATATTGGGCCCAACCCCTGCTACATCGAGTCAGGCTCATCATCGGCTTTCCCGGCATCGAACCCTATTCGGCATCGGGCCCCGCTCGGCATCGAGCCTCGTCCGACATCGAGCACATCTCGGAATACATGTGAGCATAATCAAACAATACACATAAACCTAAGCATATATCATTAACATTTATACATTCCTCGGGCCCTGCTCGGCATCGGACCGTAATCCGGAAACATACTAACATTCCTCGGGACTGCCCCGGCATCGGACCGAAGTCCGGAAACATACAAGTACAAACACATGCAAGAATCACAAATACATCAAGCATACAAGCATTCCTCGGGACCGCCCCGACATCGAATCGAAATCCAGAAAAGCATATAAACCTACATTGGGCCCCGCCCGGCATCGGACCATAGTCCAGAACTATTACTAACTAAACGGGTCGGCCTTGGTGCCTTAGACCCGTTCATACTGGAGGAAACTCACCTCGAATGCTAGCTGTGAAATCTCGTGTGAGGAATCTCTGACGACTGCTCCAACGACTCCCCGGCTATTAATTTCACAATAACACTTAACCAATATCTGATAATCCTTCTTAGGGTAAAATAACCATTTTACCCCTGGTCAAAGTCAACATCCTGTTGAAAGTCAAATTCAAGGTCAACTCTCATTCGACTCAACTCGTCGAGTTACTTCCTGACTCGACGAGTTCCTATACTACTCAAACTCGTGACCAACCGAGTCAACTCATCGAGTCCCTTCACATACTCGTCGAGTTCTAACTGGCATAGAATCGGGACAACCCGACTTCAACTCGTCAAGTCCCTTTCTGGACTCGCCGAGTTCCCCTATCTGTTTGGGCTATCTTAATGGATTAAGCCCCTACACTTCAGATCCAAGCTTCATACTTCATATAAACCCTAAAAATGTCCTTTTAAGGGTAAAGTTTCTGACTTTACCCATTAATACCTCTTCTTAAAGGGTTTAGCTCAAACTCTAATTCCTTGGGACCTAGAACTTGGTCCTTAAGCCATCCATACACCAAACTAAAGCTTTCAACCTCAGATCTAAACCCATAACATTAGTTGGACACGTAAAGTTCCCAACTTTCCCCACATGCATGGCCTTTTGGGGCTAAAAAGGCCAATATGACACTCTATGGATTGCATGGGGGCTCCAATGGTATAAAGTTTGCACCTTTATGTTATATCAGCCCCTCAAGGTCCTAGATCTGGAAGAATACCCACTTGGGTCGATAAATCTCCAAAGGCTATCATTCTTGGACCAAAAACCCTCATAAAATGGACATAAAGAGATCTAATGAACTAATAGTCAAGATAGAAACTTGATTACCAGAAAATGTAGCAAATGGAGTGTAGTTTCTGGATCTACTCTTTCCCTCTTGAGCCCTCTATCTTCTTCTTCTTCCACAAGCTTCAAAAGTACACAAAGGTCACTAAAAAAGGCTCACACTCTCAAATAAAGCCCTAGGGTTTCGTGGATTAGGGTTTGGGACATGGAGGCTAGAAATGAGGCCAAGGGGTGGGAGTTAAGGAGCTTAAATAGGGTGTAAAACCCCGAATTTAGGGTTTCACTCTGGCCGATCTACTCGCCGAGTCGAGGGCTCTTGACTCGGCGAGTAGATAGCTTAAACCCCGCGTATATTCTGCCCTCTACTGGACGAGTTAGGGCCACCAACTCGTCGAGTTACCCTTTCAAAATAAATTAATTAATAAGCAAATGCATACCAGAAACTAGGCGTTACAATTCTCCCCCACTTGTCTTAGACTTCGTCCTCGAAGTCTGCTGCATCTGAAAACAACTCCGGGTAGTGCTCCGTCATCTCCTCCTCGGGCTCCCACATCCACTCTGAACCCTTGCGGTGCTGCCACTGCACCTTCACTAACTGAACAACCTTGTTCCGCAAGGTTTTCGTCTTGCGATCTAGAATTGCCACCAGCCTCTGAATGTAGTTCAGGCTGTCGTCAACCTGAATATCCTCCAAAGGCACAATCGCTAAGTCATCCGCTAAGCACTTCCGCAACTGGGAAACATGGAAAGTGTTGTGGATCTGACTGAGCTCTGCTGGTAGATCCAACCAATAAGCCACCTTGCCCACCCAGACTATAACCCTGAAAGGACCAATGTACCTGGGGCCCAGCTTGCCCCGTTTCCGAAACCGGATGACACATTTCCAAGGTGACACCTTCAGGAGGACCATATCGTTCACGTGAAACTCCAAGTCTGAACGCCGCTTGTCGGCGTAGCTCTTTTGCCGACTCTGAGCAGTCTGGAGCCTGCTCCGGACCTGCTGGATCCGCTCTGTAGTCTTGAGTACTACCTCAGTACTCCCCACGACTCTCTGACCGACCTTGCCCCAACAGATTGGGGTCCTACACTTCCTCCCGTAGAGAATCTCGAAGGGAGGTCGGTCTATGATGGAGTGGTAACTGTTGTTATACGAAAATTTCGCTAATGGAAGATATGTATCCCAACTGCCACCGAAATCCAAAACACATGTGCATAGCATGTCCTCGAGAATCTGTATCGTCCTCTCGCTCTGACCGTCTGTCTGAGGGTGGAAGGCGGTGCTGAAGTGGAGATGAGTACCCATATCCTCGTGAAACCACTTCCAAAACCTGGAAGTGAAACGAACATCTCGGTCTGACACCACCGAGACAGACATTCGATGTCGTGCCGCTATCTCACGCACGTATATCTCGGCCAGCTTCTCGGCCGAGATGCTCTACTGGATCGGGA